GAGCGGTAAGTGTTCTTTTCAATATTTTAAATAAAAGTCCTATCGTATTGTAGTTAATTTGTTGTGTTGTCAAATCAAATTCCGCTGTGTGAGATCTCTGGTGTGGGTATTCATTAAAACAGCGGTTTCCAAATATGTTTCAGAAGATAAAAAACAAAAAGAAGAAAAACATAGTAACAAGTCGAGGCATGGAACTGATTATGGTAAATTCGAATGTTCTTTTAATATTTGGCATTTTAATTATTTATACGTCTTTTAGAACTGGAAGAAGATGTTGGGACCTGCCTTCAAGCCCTCAAATTCGACAATTTAACATCGGACCCACTTGATGCAACTTGGAAAGCCTGTTGCAAATTCGTCTAGACGTTATCAACTCTAAGAATACAGCTAATATAATGAAGAAATGGTCTTTTTATAGAAATCCCTCAGGATATCGACTGGTAAATTAATTTTCTTATTATAATTTACCCTAAAATTGATAATAACATTACTATTCTCTTCGTCGATTCGATTTTTTTATTTTTAATTTCTATATGCTATATCGAGTTTAATAAATCATTATTAAATAAACAAAAATACGAGTAGCAGAAAAAGGGACCAAAAAACAAATTATTTTGTTTATTTTTATATATACCCTACCTAAGCCTTCTTAGCTCCATCTACGGTAACGTGCATGAAGCAAGCAAAATTATTATTAGTTTATTGCACTTGTTTTTTTATTAATAATCCCTAATGGAAAAATTTACTGTGCTCGTAAGTAAGTCGGCACTATTAGTAATTTTGTTACCATTGTAGATAAGGGTTTGGTTTGGATGAAATTATTTCATTGTATTAATGATACGGTTCATTAATATAAGGATTTAGGTACATTATATTAATGAAATCTGTTCATTGTACCAATGAATGTGTTCGTTCAATTAATGAACACTGTTGATTGATTTAATGAACTTAAAGTTCATAGAGTTAATGAATTACTTTTCATTGTGCCAATGAAATCGTTCATCGGCTCAAAATTAATGATTTAATTCATTATATTAATGAACTTTTTCATTATATTTATGTCGACTTTTGGTTCAGTGTTAAAATAAACATTTCTAAATGTTTACAATGTCAAAGAATAAAAAAATAAAAATAATATTCAAAAAGATTTAGTTAGTTTATAGTAAATATCAATGAACTCTAAATAAATTTATTTCGGTGTCATTGATAAATATAGCAATAGCATTAGACCAGTGTTTACAAGAACAAATTCGATCATCAAAATATAATTCATTTACTGCGTAGAAAGCCTTCTCTAGTAAATAAGAGTTCAATGCTTCGCGAAATTTAGAAAATGATGTTTTGGATTAGATTTCAAATGGCAGGTGATTGTGCATTTTTTTCGAGTTGAATAATATTGAACTTTTAACTAACTCTGAGCGTGGGGTAGGTAGATAAAGATCATGCTTCGCGTTCCTGAGTGGATAAGTGTGAGATGGCCTTGAGAAGCTGATACATGCTTACGTATTAGGCAAACGGATTCAAATATAAATAAGGAAGGAGGAGTTAATATTTTTAATTTTTTAAAAAAGTCCTGGCATTGAGTTCTGCTGTTTAGTCCCAGTGAATATCGAACAGCTCTCTTCTGGAGCTTGAAAATGCGGTCAAATTGAGTCGCACAACACATACCCCAGAATGGAAGGGCATACCTGAGGTGCGACACAAAAAGTGCATAATAAAAAGTTCTAGCCACTGACAAGTTAAGCTCCTTAGAAACAGATCTTAATGTAAAACAGGCAGAGCTCAATTTTTTCGACAAAGCTTCGATATGCATGTCCCATTTCAGAGAACTGTCTACAACAAGCCATAAGAATTTTACAGATTTTACGACATCAATGGTGGCGTTGTTAAGTACAAAAATTAATCGCGTTTATTTGGTATGAACTGTAGTTATTAATTTTCCTGATTGATAATATTGTATTTATTAATAAAATACTTTGATTATATTGCGTTATTGACTAGTGTACTTTAGTTAAACAGTAACTGGATTGTTAATTCGACATTAACGAGTGTTAGTGAACAAGTTATTGAACATTTTAATTAAACGAAAGTACTCCTGGAACTGTTCCAGTTAAGCTGCTTTTTTACAGGCATGTTTCATTCAAAATCAGCCAGCCGATACTTCGTTAATTATTGATAAACTTTAGCGAAGTTCAGCTTAACTCCGTTATTGGATTAACTTTGAATATTGTTTCGAGCTTCAAATTACGGCTTATTAATTTAAACTGGTATTCAGTTTTTTATCATATACTCAAATTTGTATTGTTTATGAATTTATGCACTGCCTACCTACTACGGAAAACTTGCTACCACTCTTTTTTATAAACATACATAAAAATGGTTTAGAAAATAAATATACAGGGAGTCCTAGATATAAGCGCAAGTATTTTAAGGGGTGGTAGATCTCGATAAAAGAAACATATTTTCTATTTATATGTCTATTTATTTTCTATTTCTCCAAAATAACGAAGTTATACATTGAAAATTTCCAAAAAAAATGATTTTTTGCTCAAATTTTGAGAACCACTGGATCTTTTCTGGATTTTCTTTCTTGAAAATTTAATATACTATCTATGTTGCCATATTATCAAGAAATTATGTTTTATAACTAAAAACTAAAAAAAAAATCCAAAAATTTTTTCAAAAAATTCCAAATTTTCAAAATGTTTTTTCACGTAAAAAACCTCATATTCTGGGGTTGAACTATATTAACAGTTAAAGCACTTATTTCTGGGACACCTTGTATATAAATGCGTTGTCTATTCCAGGCAATATCATAAAATATTTTTTTTTGTATCATTGTATTATAACTTATGGCACCTTTCAGTATTTTTTACTTTATTCGATAGAAAATAACACTCTGAATACAATGACATATCATATGTCAACTTCTGACATTTTCGCTTAAAAAAATCGTATTTTTTAATTTTAAGATAGAGTGCCATGGCTGTGTTAAAAACAATAATTTTTAATCAAGGAGACTTGGTAAAATACATTTGATCGTCTAATGTTTTTTCGTGTCTTGTCCTGGCCGGTTAAAAGATGCCCAAATCGTATTTTTAATCATATCTCAATTTTTTCAAATAGAACAAGGGTGGCTTATTAGCATATTTGGAAAAAGCATTTTCTTACCAATAATTTGGTTTCACACATTTGGTATTTCGAGTCAAATTGTCGGTTGTGGACCGCATGTTACAATTTCAAATAAACCATATGCGAAAATGTCAAAAGTTGACATATGATATGTCATTCTATTCAGAGTATCATTTTCTATCGAATAAAGTAAAAAATACCGGGGGTGCCATTTAAAATTCAAGTGTTGTACTAATTTCCGGTGAAAAGGTAGTGACTGAAAACAATTGAATACGTCAATCAATCCTAATTTATGTCATATACTAACATACCAAACCAAAATCGAGTTCTGGTATTGATGTATTTGCAAATAATCATTACAACATTGAAAATTAGTGTATAAATATCGATTTTTCATATAAAGAATATTTACAAAAGATTCTTTTATTTGCTCTAACATCAGGTAACTTTGTGACTATCATTGCATATTCAGATTTTCAAAAATATCTTAAAATCTCCACGAGAAATAAACAAATACAATATTATTACAATTTATATTCCACCACTTTATAAAACACTACGCAAAGAATTGTTATCATAGAACAAATTGTTTCATATATTCCTTTCGCAATTTTTCCTCAAAGATGATCTCACTGTAATTTCCGCCATGCTTCGCTGGAACCTTCAAAAGGCCAACTAGTTTGCATACAAGATGTGTTCCATTAAACAAGCGAGACTTTCCTGCGTTATTCTATTTTACACAGCTAGCGAATATGAGGCTGGCTATACTATTATTGTTCTGCTGATTTTACTTTAAAGAAAATTCTTTGTAGATACAGGATAACCTTTGGGATTAAATGTACTCATAATAATTATGGTATCTTAAATATAACCTTTTTTACTCAGTTTTCGAATATATTGTGCTCCGTCAAAATGGCTGGTCATAAATAGAGGTCAACTGGATATATGTCCAGTAATTAGGCTATTCAAAAACTTTACGGAAAAAAGAAAATTAATTAATGTTCCAAGGTTGTTTTTAACTGTAAATCTTTCCTGGAAAATGGGTAAATGGTTCAAGAACCTTCCTGTTAGGAAAAATACGATTGCTCAATGGGTGTCTATCGAAGCGAAAAAATCAGGTTTGGCTACGGAGAAAGTAAAAATTACTAATCATTCGCTACGTGCAACAGCTGTGTCGACACTAGCAAAGAAGGGAGTTGAGAAGAACACAATGGTCAAAATAACTGGGCACGCAAACCCGTCAATTAAACCTTACCTTCAACTCGATGATGAACATCATGCAAATCTGGTAGAAAAATGAGAGACAATGAAACTGCTACAAGTTCTAATAATATGAGGGTGGTCTGAAAAGTTTCCGACCTAACAAAGATACAAGACATTTTTTCTGAATATTTTATTTTATTTTTCAACATAGTCCCCTTGTAACTCTACACGCTTTTCCCAGCGATGCTCCCATCTCTTTTACCCGTCCAAACAGTACTCGGCGTTTTTCTCTGCAAAATAGTGGTTCACGAAGGTGAATGCCTTTTCATTTGACGAAAATCTCTGTCCTCACAACCAAACCAAACCGCTGAGGTGTGAGACGGTGCGTTATCTTGGTGAAACAGGATTTTCTTTTTCTGTAAATGAGGCCGTTTTTCCGTAAGTTCTGTTTTTAGCTTGTCAAGTAATGATGCGTAGTATGCTCCTGTGATGGTTTTTCCTTTTTAAAGATAATCAATTAAAATAACTCCATGACTATCCCAAAAAACAGTCGCCATCACTTTCCCAGCCGAAATAACAGTTTTTGCTTTTTTTGGAGCCCTCCCTTTGCCGTCCACTGTTTGGACTGTATTTTTGTTTCTGGTGTATAGTGGTGTATCCAAGTTTCATCTACCGTAATTAATCCTAAACTGCGCTAACATAGCGTGGAAAATGTTCATACGAACACGCTTTTGGTCTAACGTGAGCAAACTCGGCACCCAACGCGCGGACAGCTTTCTCATGTCTAAATCTTGAATTAAAATGTGACAAACACGTTCTTTTAATATGCTCATAACCTCTGCTATCTCTCTCACTTTAATTCGGCGGTCGTCTAGCACCATTTGGTGAACTTTGGCGATGTTATCGTCGGTAGTTGCAGTTTTTGGACGTCCCGAACGTTCATCGTCTCCCAAGCTCTTACGGCCATGTTTAAATTCAGCTGCCCAAAATTTTATTGTGGTAAATGATGGTGCAGAGTGGATACATAGAATCCAACTCATGTTTAATTTGTGTAGGCGTATTGCCTTTCAAAACCAGATATTTAATGACAGCTCGATACTCGATTTTGCCCATTTTAACAAAAACACTGACATCAACTCACTCAAACGACTGTTACATAACAACTGCGCATCCAAAATGGCTGAAACTTTGGTGAATAACTGTCAACAGATGAACAATGAAAATTCACTAGCTTTTATTAAAGTCCCTAGATATATAAAGTACCGCAATTGGTTTGTTCAATGTTATTGGCGCCAAAATGGCGGAACTTTGGGGTATTTCTGGAAAAACTGTAGTGGTAAAACTGTTTAAATGTCACATTTGTCTGAATTTGTCATGTCAAATGTTGAGAAGCTGTCAATTTCAGGATAAAAATATTTATCCACATATTTTAAAATAATTATAAAGCCACTAAAATGCTACAAATTTATTAGTTAATAATGTATAGGCGTCGATATCTTTATTGAAGAAATGTGTATTACACGAAAAGGCCGCCATTTGATGAGTTTTCTAACATCGTCGATATTCAATACACGTTAGGTAGTGGATTGAATTTATTTATGCTCCAGTGAATATTTTTAACAATCTTATTTGTAGTATAACCTATTGGTACATAAAACTTCATTATAGAACAAGACAAGACCACAATAGATCTGAGAAGGTCGCAGTGGGTCAGGGCGATATCAACCTCTAGAAATCTAATCTAGAACAAGACAAAGACCTTACTTGCAAACTACCATACATATCTTTTAAAAAGGATGCTAAGTGTAAGTGAAATCTCTACGTAATCATTCCTTAAAATGTTTAGTGTAGTTTAGTTTTCAACATTTTGCAGTAAGAAGTTTAGATAAATTTACAGCATCTTCAAGTACCGCAACGGAATCTAAACATAATAATTCTTATAACTGTGTTTTTCAGTACAATTCTTCATGTAATTTTTAATTTCTAATATTATAAGTTCTGTTTCATTTTATTGCTTCATTTTTAAATTGTTTTTTTTGTGTTCAAATAGATGTTTTTAAAAAATCTATGTATTTTCATGTTTTTTATTCGGGAAATATTCTACCGAATTACACTCGTGCATCAAAATTAATAATTAATTTTGATGCACTTGGGTAATTTCTTCCGAAAATTATTATTTAACACACTTTCTATTTGTCGACATACAGCAAACAATAACAGGCGAGTTAATTATTCTCCCCAGTTGCTTTTCCAAGTTATAAACGTAAACTAAATCAACGCCTGTACGGTTTTAAGGGTCAGTCCGGAATATTTTAATCCGGAATAGCGCTGCCGCTTCTGTAGTCTCTGCTACTCCCGTGTCTCGGTCGCTCGGCCACAACAAAAACAATGTCCGAATTTGCATTAATTAACTTACTTTTAATTAAACGATATTATTACGGGCTAAGCGGATTAGCGTGTGTTATTTTAAGGGTCAGCGCCGATAAAATTTCGCCTCGATGAACCGGCGAACTTTTGAAATAACATTCTTAATTTTCAGGGCAAATAATTTCTCGAAAATTCCAGCATTTATTCAGAATTAAGTACGTTAATTATTATATCCTATCTTTTATTAAATAAAAAGGCACTTTCTATTACAATTTAGTATTCTTAATTTCTAGATTAACTATTAAAACTAAATTATTAATATTAGTTATTAGTAATGCAATTTAATTTTTCAAACAAAAAACCACATAACAAAAATACTTGTAAATAAATAAATTTTCCTCTAGGAGATGCCAGACCTTATCGTTGGTGGTGAAACTCCTAGTCAGGTGCTAGGGGGAATCCTCTCTGGTACTTTAGCTGGGTCTAACCCAAGTAGCATTTTTGGACACATTGTAAGTAATATTTATAATGTTGCGGACCCGTGTGGACTCTACCTAACCTAACTATATGTCCCGCCCGCAGATGACCTTAACATCGCATTACAGAATAGACACCGTAATGATTCATTTGAACGTTCGAGAAAATACGAGTTCCACTGGAATGGAGTAGTACATACGAGAACATTCGAAACCTGCTCTATGCACCTAATGATTTATGGAAATAACTATTATGAAAATAAACAGACGGCTGAGCCTGACGAGGACAGAAATAAATAGTAGGCTTTCTATCCACACGGAACGGACGAAAAACGTAACAATAATACCCGTGTCTGTTTCTTGACACAAAATGGAAACGGTATGTCACAAATAGGAAACATTTTTGAAACCTATATAATTTTATATGGCTTTATTACATGTGTTTCCAATGTGGTGGCACTAGTCGTTTCCTGAAATGTTTCGATGCGGAATCAAAACGTTTAGAGGAAATGTCTCGAAACTTTTTCTGCAATTTGTGTCCAAGATGTTCCCCTTTTCAGGAGCCACTGTGTCTAAATGTGAAGAAACAAAATACCGAACTAAAATAGTCTATGTCTGTGTGTGGATTTCAAAATGAAAACAACCATCAACAATGTCGAGCTCTGCCATAATTTTTTTGTTTTTAGGTTTTATCGCAAAAAATGTTATTTTTAATTAATGAGCTTTAATGAACTTTCATATTTTCAATGTCCCTTCATATCATTATTTGTCGCTACAAAATATTTTTCTTTGAAATATAGATTATTAATTTTATTTCTATATCACACTTCTGTATATAAAAATATATAAATTAATGTAAGTAGAACGCGTTCTTATGAGTTTAAAAGCACAACAACCGATAAAAACATATATGTTTAATTAAAAAGGCTATCAGTGAGGAGGCTATCAAAGGAGGAATTTTAATTCATTATTTTATAAAATTGATATATAGAGTCGGATACAAATCATCTGCTTTATATCGTATTTGTATCTAAAAAGGGAGAATCTCGTGTTTCGAAAATGAATCGACAATAAATAGAAACCTTAAATATGTTTCCAAAATGTTTCGATTTCGCGCTATCTGTATAGAAATTTCGAACTGGACACCTGTCAACAACGCCAATCAAAACTTCTGGCCAAAATAATTAAAATATTTCTTTTATTTATTTATTATAACACAATTAAAACATAAAAACATGTATTCCATAGTGGAAAAAAGAGAAAAAAAATCTTTTGCTGGTAACATTTTTCTTCGGTCTCCTGTTGAGTATGGGTAGTAGCTGTTATTACATTTATTCCTAAAAGAAATCATCTATGCAATGCGCATAATAAATTTTTATTACATCGCATAAGAAAAATATCTGTATTTGTACTTACGATATGTTCTTCCTTCTGTTTTTTTAATTATAGTATTAAAAAAACTTGAAGAATATTTAAATTGAATGCTTAAATGCAAAAACTGCAAAACAAAATCCAAACAATATCAAATAAATTATGAAAACTTTCCAGGCACAAAACGGGTACAATGTTTCTCAGCAGAGATTTTGTTTCGATTATGTGTATAAAAATGCTATTTGGGAAAAACATAACTCCTATGATAGTGGTGCGTATAATAAAAAAAACGGCGTCAGAGACGGCTATGAAATGAAGGTCGCTGTCATTTTATATCTATCGGAAAGTCATCGATCGTCATTTCCCAGCCAGTTGAACGCCGTTTTTTTCCGATCATATAGTAGAATTAAATCTCATTAAGAAACCAATCATATTTTATTCATTGTTAGCCAATAGTCTGTTTCTAAATTTATTAAAAATATGCAAACCAATACTCCATATGCCCGTATTTCTCATAACGATTTTTTCCTGAATATATGCCAGAGCTAGCGTAAAATTGGATCGGGTGGTCCGGAGTGAGTTTTTGTCTGGAGAAATCACCAAAAACTACAATTTCCTATATTGCGATACGTTCGCGAGGCCGTAAAAATTGTATTTCGCTCCAGAGAGAGACCAATATGACGGGGCAAACTTATATCGAAGCCCGATATTAAATAAACCATTTGGGAGCTTATTTTCAGGGATGGGTTTTTCTTTTACTATATATGATTACGGATTTTGTGGGTGCTTGCAATAAAATCGCCAATAAACGTACTAAATAATTTATTAATTAACTAAAAAAACCTGTAAATTGAGATTAAATATCCACTACCAGTTTATAATTTTTTTTTAGATTTCTAGATACTTTTTTTTATATTTCTAGATACAAAATCGAATCAAAATATCTGCTGAGAAACATTGCAAAACAGTTTCGTCACATTTTTGATTCATATGTTTTGTAACATAAATTCCTTTTTGTTTTGAAACATTTTACCAAAATATGGTTTCGCTACATAAGCTATAACAATAGAGACCTTAGTGTCACAAATTTTTCGAAACTTTTAAGAAACAGATGTGGCTCACATTTACAAAGATTTCGTACCCGTATTGTGCCTGAAAATTTTCCATAATTGATATTCTGTGTCAATTTGACACTGTCATGAGTACATAACCTTACTTTATTATTTGGATTTTGTTCTGCAGTTTTTGCATTTAAGCATTCTTCAAGTTTTTGTAGTACTATAATTAAAAAAAAAACAGAAGGAAGGACAGAGATAATTTGTTTTAGGAATAAATGTAATAACAGCCACTGGGTATGGGTACCCATCAGGAGACTGAAGAAAAATTTTACCATCCTTTTTCTCTTTTTTCCAAAATGGAATACTAATAATTTAATGAATTAATTTTAAATTATTTTGACCAGAAGTTTGATTGGCGTTGTTGACAGGTGACTAGTTCGAAATATCTACGCAGATAGCGCTAAATCGAAAGATTTTGGAAACAAGATTTCCATTTATTATCTATTCATTTTAGAAACACGAGTTTCTCTCTTTTTAGACACATATATGATATATGTAGATGATTTGTGGTTCGACTCCATGACAATTTTATAAAATAATAAATTTAAATTACACCATGTTGGCTAGTGACAGTGTTTTCAGAGAAGAAAAACCTAAAAATAAAGATATTAAGACAAAAAAAATGTTTGTGGCGGAGGTCGACATTGTTGATGGTTGTTTTCATTTTGAAATCCACACACAGATATAGGCTATTTTAGTTTGGTATTTTGTTTCTTCACATTTAGAAGCAGTGGCTGTTGAAAACGGGAACATCTTGGACACAAATAGCAGGAAATGTTTCGAAACATTTCCTCTAAAAGTTTTGATTCCGCATCGAAACATAAGATAAGATAAGTATAAAGCTTAGGGTGTATTCCGTCGCTTGCCTTGGTTATGGTTTATTTTCCGTTTCTATCGAAAGTTTTCTTATTACGGAACACGGTTCCTGAAGAATTCGGTTATAACTGTCACCAAACTAACCAGCGCGAGAAGGCTGGTTTTTCTGGTTTTGTTTGTCAATCAATGTCATTTATGTGACAGAAATCAAGCAAATATTCGAAGTTCGAGTAAAATTCTCGTTTAATTTCTAAGATTTGTAATAATATTTTGTATTTACATCCAAAAGCAATGGAGGTAGGCAGTAAAGATAAATAAATTTCATTAACTAAATAAAATAACTTTTTAGGACCATTTAAAGTTATCATGCAGCCATTGTTTCTTAAAGTCAGGAACATTTAAAGAAAACATGAAAAACAAGACAAGTAATCGTGAATATTTTGTAAGCTATAAAAATATAAATATTGATTACATTTGTTTATTAATTATTGATCTGTTTTAATATTGGACCTGCAAATCTTCACTTGAGCTGTCTAACGCGTTTAACAGTTTATTAATAAAGTACTTTTCAATATTAAACTCCATTGAAAAGAAGAAGCAAACGAAAAAGAAGAGAATAGGTACATTAAAAATGCATAAAAGATAAATTTTATAATAGAAGTACTTATTGAAATTTAGAAAACGTCAACATTTGACGTTTCCAGTATTTTACCAAACCGTTCCGTATCAAACCGACGCGACGT